GGCAGATTAGACAAATCACCATGATGCCTGGTTCCTGGTTACCTGCCTCTGATCAGTCTGTGCAAAGGAAAAAAATTTATATGTTCAATTTGAGAAAATGTACTCTCTGTTGTCAAGGTTCTATGTTCCATTAAAAAAACCTGACAGAAATTAAATAACTCTTAGCCATAAAACAGGTGTTGGCTTTCGGTCCTTCTCCAGGTTAGTGCTTCTCGCAAACGTGTGCACTTCCTAAGAGCTGCCACACCTCAGGGCTGTGTTTCCCTGTTCAACTGTGTTTGCCTGTTCATAGTGGGTCATCCTCTGCGAAGATGCTCTGAAGTGGTTCCTGCGGAGGCTTATTGGTAGTTTGTTTTTAAAGTTTAAGTATATAGGTTGAGTATCCCTTTCAGTTTGGGACCAGAAGTATTTTGGATTTTGGATTTTTTTTGGTTGTTGGAATATTTGCAGGATACAGTGAGCATTTCCTTTGAGTGTCATGTTGGCACTCAAAAAGTTTTGGATTTTGGAGCATCTTGGATTTCAGATTTTCACATTAGGGATGCTTAACCTGTACTACTGCAATTGTAACCATAAAATAACTAACTTCATGTTTGACCTTACACACACACAAGCCACATAACTACGTGCAGAAAAGAAAGAACTAAACCTGAGTGTGCTTTGTGAATCAATGATCCACAGGAAGTAGCACGTCTGGAGTCAGCCAAGACATTTTCTAGTCAAATGTCACTGAAGAAACGTGCTAGCACGATAAGACTTGATAATGCTGGGCAGGTTTTCCAGCTATTTAGCATGGAGCTCCTTAAGAGAAAAGGTGAATCAAACTTAGAGCACGGGGTAGATTCTAGCTTTGAGTATTGTACCCTAAAGTGTGTGTAAAATTCTTAGTTTGAACAGTGACTTAAATTGTATCAAAGCTTGTCACATACCTCTAATTTACATTTTTTCTTTCTTTTTTTTTTTTGGTGGCTGGCTGGTAAGGGGACCTGAACCCTTGACCTTGGTGTTATCAGCACTGTGCTCTAATTTACATTGTCTTCACATTTACCTCTAATTCATATTTTCGTAACATTTCCACAGTACCAATCCCATTTGTTTGAGATGAGAATGCTTTACTTTCCCTGTGGCTGGGATAGGAAAATGTTCTTTATCACATAGAGAAATGAACATTCAGGTTAGCCTCGTTATGACTGTTCTTTCAGCTGAAGTATTATCTTTAAGTAGAACCTCACTTCAGGGCCCTGTGAAACAGCTCATTTGAAAGCATCCTGTTTACTTCTCATGTTGAAAATGGTTTCTGCCTTTTCTCAATTTGGATAATTCTGAGAATTTTCTTCTTTCAGAAGAATTGGAATGATTTGTGATAACTTCTGGTAGTCAGGTAAATTGGATGATTCACTGACGATACACAGAGACAGTGCTATTTCTTTCTTTTTAGAAAAAAGAAATAGCAAATGTTTAGACTGTCATTTACTCCCATTTAATTGAAACTTCCTAGTATTCTCTATCCATTTATTGTATTAATACAGATATACAAATAAAATTAATAAGAAAGTCTAGTTCAAATTTTAATACAAGAAGTCTAAATAATGACATATGAATGTCAAATTTAACTGCCTACATTTGAATTCTGGATTTAATTCTCAATTTCTGATGATGACTATTATTTTATCTTAAATTTTTCTACCTCCTGAGGCAGCTAGGTCAGATGAATAAGGTCAGTCATCTAGTAAATGTTTTGACTCTTTAAAGGCTTCCTGTAGGGCCGGCCCGGTGGCGCACTGCTACAGTGCGCTCCACCCCGTCGAGGGTTCAGATCCCACATACAGACCGGCCGCTCACTGGCTGAGCAAGGTGCGGGCGCAACACCGAGGGTTGCGATCCCGTTGCCGGTCCCGGTCTGGTACAGGCGCGACACTGAGGGTTGCAATCCGTTGCCGGTCACGAAGAAAGACAAAAAAGGAAAAAAAAAAAAAAAAAGGCTTCCTGTGCAGTTGGTATTTCATTCTATATTCCCTTTTTTTTTTTTTTTTTGGACTAATTTTAAGTATTCTTTATGGTGGTTTCAAAGTGCCCTGATAAAATCACATTAAAGCTTTCTTTGTCTGAGTTCCTTCTGTTAAGAATTTTGTGTGTACATAAATGTCATTTCCTTTCCTCTGTTCATTTTTTCCCCCCAAACCTTGTAAAACTTTATGGGTGTATTGAGGAGAGGTTCTCAATCCAGATTTCTTGCACGGTTGAGTGTTGAGCCTCCCATAGTTTGGTGCCCCTTGAAGAGAACCCCGGCCTCTCTCCTGTGCGCAGAGCTCCGGCACGGTGGTCATGGCCTACGACCGGCCTTTCTCGCCTACTTTCGCCCTTGCATCCATGCTTTCCTTGCCTGCAAACTCACCCTCCTTCTCTGGGCGCCGTTCTGGTCTCGGCTCAAGTGTTCTCAGTGTCCTGGGGAACTTCTTTGACCCCTCGCCTATAGAGAGCAGGCCCCTCTTGGT